TTGAAAAATTAAAGGCAAATTTAATTTTTGTAGTCATTAAAATGCAAAATTTTAGTTAAGAAAGTTAATGACAATAACAACAATAGCAACAAAAAAACCCTACTGTTTTCAACCAATTATTCATTTTCTAGTTTTTTGTCCTGATAGATTTGGAATTCCAGGCTAATTAGTAAGTCTGACAAAGATGTGGTGGAGCAAGAAAGTGGAAACTACACCACAGTCTTGGTTGGTCAGTATGAATAGAAGAAGTCAAAAGAAAGATAATCCTAAAAGGATGCAACAGTTTTTTTTAAGGGATGTATCAGTTTTAAAAAATAAATTATATTTTTCTGACTCGTAGCTTGCTTAGACTAGATTCGTAAAGCACAAAATCATTATTTTGCTTATTTTTCTTTTAAAAAGATATTATTAGTCATGGGGCACCTGGGTGGCTCAGTCAGTTAAGCGACCGACTTCGGCTCAGGTCATGATCTCACAGTCTGTGAGTCCAAGCCCCATGTTGGGCTCTGTGCTGACGGCTGACAGCCTGGAGCCTGTTTCGGATTCTGTGTCTCACTCTCTCCCTGCCCCTTTCCTGCTCGTGTTCTGTCTCTCTCTCTCTCAAAAATAAATAAACATTAAAACAAATTTTAATTGTTGTTAGTTACTTATATAGCTTTATAAGAAAAATTAATATGCAAGGATGCATTTATATGAGTTTAAATTTACTTCTAGTTTGTACACGTACAGGAATGGTTCTGAATAGTAGTAATTGGAGTGGGGTCGCTGTGGATCCACGTCTTTCACATACTATAATTTTATATGAACATAATCCATGTGCTTAACATTCTTTGAAAAATATGAGAGGGCTCTAATGCCTTTGAATTTTGGTATAATTTTGGATGGGTCTTTCTGCTACCATTTTCTTATTTTGAATAACATTTCTTATTTTGGGGTACTTAGGTTAATTCTAATTTTTTTCACCATTAAAATACAACTACTATGAAAATCTTTATGAAACTGCTTTGTCTGTTGACTCCTTGGAGTGTGTGGAGATAAGCAAGGTCGTTCGGTGGGTCAAAAATATGCATGATTTTATAGCTCTTGTTATAACTTTATTTCCTAGAATAGCGGTTTTGCAGTGGACAGGAGAGAGTATGTGTAGTTTGAAAAAACATACTCAGTATTTTGGTATCATTTTATGGTATAAAATGATCATTCCATAATTCAAGCTACAGAAAACAAAACTATGAAATTGTGTTGGAGAAGAGGAAGTAAGTGGTTCAGAAACAGAGCACTGTGGAGACTTTTGAAATCATTGAAAAAGCTTCAGCTTGTATTTTTTCTTTTACACAAGTTATTTATTAATTTTGAAATTTAAATTTTTCCTATGGAAAGTATAATTGACATACAGTGTTATGTTAGTTTCAGGTGTACGATATAGTGATTCAACATTTCTATACATTACTCAGTGCTCATCGCGGTAAGTGTCCTCTGAATTCTCTTTGCGTTCTTAAAGCTGAGACTGAGTGACCATGGACGAGGTGGCACAGAAGTGCCCTGGGTGAGTGGAAAGAAGCCAGCTTGACTTTGCAGAAATTGCCATCAATAATCCCATAGGTGTGGCCTTCTCTTTCCATTTTAATTTGTCTGTCTATAACTTCAACATTCTTACAAATCATCTGGAGGTCTTGTTAAAGTACAGATTCTAATTCAGCAGTTCTGGGGCAGGGCCTGAGATACTGCATCTCTAACAAGTTCCCAGGTGATGTTATTATCCTGGGAATGTCGTTTGGTTGGCACTGTCTTAGAGCTCTTCCACCACGACCCTAGGGTAACAAGAATTGACACAGGGGATCCTGGGTCAGTTCCTTCAGTGACCTGAAAGTGGAAGAGATGAACTACTGGCTTATTTGAGAGGTGAACCGATTCTGCTTATTCAGAAATTTGAGGGGCGGGGGAGTAGGAAATTGTTAATATTAGATGAGTTAATCACACGAAGTTTTAGGTGCCACTGACATCAGGCTGTTCAGAGACTGAAGGAGGGAAGGGCCTTTGAAGTGGTACTCAGGTTCCTGCTGCTTAACTGAAAGTGAGATAAGATCAGATTCGTTAGGAAACAATTTTCAAAACAGACTCATTTATTTTGACTAAATGAAGCTGAATGATAGTAGGGAGATAGATTCTTTGTATTTTTTAGAGACTCGCTGTTTTAGAAAGTGAAAACTGGTCACTTACGATTTTGTTTGCCTTGGTGCTGAGATTTTAAATAATGCATTTCCACATCACCTTTAATGATGCTGAATTACTGCTATTAATCACTTCCCATAGAGAAAATGGAACTAAGGGCCTATGCTGTTTCTCTGCTTCTATCTCCATTTTGCTCTGTGACTTTAAGAAAATCACTTAAAGCCCTATGTTTTGAGTTCCCATGGTGAAAAATGGAAATCAAAGCCCTTGCCATGTTCCCTGTAGAGCACTTACTGAAATCGGAGGGCTTTGAGGTAGATTTTATTGCTCAAAAAAACCAAAAGACTTTAAGAGTGTAATATTTTATATTTATTTAGCATGTTTTATATATATGCATATATCAAGCTATTTTATATGTCATCTAAATATGCTGGCAAACCTTCATAATAAAAATGAAACACTTCTTTTAATCACACCAGCAATTAAATTGAATTTTTTGGTTTCACAAATCGGATGAACCTTATTCTAGTCTTTTAGATGTATTTTTTTGTTCTTTAGGTAATTAGTACTGATTAACATTGATTAAAGAGATAGTAATTTAATCCACATATTTAAGGACTTTTAGTTCTAAAGGGAATTGATGGTAAGTGAGGTCAGTTATTCAAGGATGACGTTCTGTCTGGAATGCTTTAGAATCAGATGATTCTTTAAAGTTTAAATACATTTATTTATTTATTTATTTATTTATTTATTTATTTATTTAGAGCATGAGCTGGGGAGAGGGGCAACGAGAGAGAGAGAGAGAGAGAGAGAGAGACTGAGAATCTTAAGGAGGCTCCGTGCTCAGCACAGAGCCTGACATGGGGCTCAATCCCATAACCCTGGGATTGTGACCTGAGTCGAAATCAAGAGTCAGATACTGAACCAACTGAACCACCCAGGTGCCCCAAATACTTTTTTTTTTTAACCAGAGTTTAGCATGTATTTGAACCAATGTTCTATATTGACTCAAACTTGTACCTGAGAATAACAGTCAGAAAATGTCTAAAGTAAAACTCTGTTGACCCAGAGAATTGGATCCATATTCATATTCATAATTTGAAATACTTCAGAACAAAGTTTACCCTACTGTTCTATGAAGTGAAGGTTTGTTAGGCAAATTAAGTACTATTATCGAATATACTAAAATATAATAAATAATCTACATTCATTACAGGATGGGGACCAAGAGCTGGGGCTCTAGAGTTGAACAGGCCTGATTCAAATCCCATCTTTGTTCTTGATCTCTAGTGTGGTTTTAGTTACTAAGCTTTTCAAAGTCTTGGTTTCCTCATCCATAAAAATAATTTTACAATATAAAGCTCATAGGATTATTGGGGTGTCCAAAAGAGATAATTCACATTCTATGGACTGAATTGTGTCCTTGTCAAATTCATATATTAAAGCCCTAACGCCCAATGTGGCTGCATTTGGAGAGAAGCCTTTGGAATATAGTTAAGGTTAAATGAGGCCATATGGGTGGGGCTATAATCTCTTGATTTTGGCTCAGGTCATGGTCCCGGGGTGGTAGGATTAAGCCCTGCATCTGGCTCCATGCTGAATCTCTCTGTGAGATTCTCTTTCTGTCTCTGCCACTCTTCCCTGCTTGTGTTCTCTCTCTCTCTAAAATAAAAATAAAATAAAATAAAACTCTTGGCATCATACAGATACCCAATATGCTTACACACTGAGTGATGGGGGAGAATGTTCACCTCAACTGAAGGACAAGCTGCTTTCAAGTACTTTAGCAGGACTCTTTTTTAATTCAAATTACTATTCTTACTATATTATATTGTAAAGTAACTGTAATAGTAATATTGTAGAAATATAGTATTACATTAATATAATTATATTATATATATATTTATAGGCATTATTATTATTATTACTATTAAGTGGAGCTGATAGTGCCTTATCCCAGTGAAATATTTTTCATCTTAAGGCTCCATATGTACTTATTAAATCTATTTAATACTTCATGATTTTTACCAATTACAGCAGGTCTCTAGCTTCTTCTTGTCCAAAAAGTCTCTCAACTAGACAAATTCTTAGGAGTATCAACTCCCACATTTTATTTTATTAAAATTTTTTTAAATGTTTATTTATTTTTAAGAGAGAGAGAGAGTGTGAGGATGGGAGGGGCAGAAAGAAAGGGAGACACAGAATCCCAAGGAGGCTCCAGGCTCTGAGCTGTCAACACAGAGCCCTATGAGGAGCTTGAACTCATGAACTGTGAGATCATGACCTGAGCTGAAGTCACAGGCTTAACCTACTGAGCCACCCAGGTGCCCCTAATTTATTTTATTTTATTTTATTTTATTATTTTATTTTACTTTAATTTTTAATAAAGAAGGTTATTTTATTTTTATTTTTATTTGAAAGAGAGGGAAAGTGTGAGCTGGCAATGGACAAAGAGAGAGGGAGAGAGAATCTGAGGCAGGTTCCATGCTCAGCACAGAGCCTGATGTGGAGCTCGAGCTCATAATTATGAGATCATGACCTGGGCTGAAGTCAAGAGTTGGACGCCTAACCAACTGGGCCACCCAGGTGCCACCTGAGCATCTACATTTTAAAAAAAGGAAAAAATAAAGAAGACTCTCTGGAAATTGTGATTAGCCAAGTATAATATGCAAGCAAGTCAGAGCCTCCAAGCTTTTCTTCCCATGAATGCAATGGCGCCATATATGTGTGTCCCAATATATGTAACATTTATATGTAATAGTTAAGCTCAAATTTAGAGCATCTGTTGTTCTTTTGGAATTTTTCAGTAATGGAAGTTTATTCTTTCACAGGTATCAAGGTTACATTTATACATACCGAGTGTCCCAGACAGACACAGGTTCTTGGAGTGCTGAGGTATAGCTCTTTTATTTATTTTTTGCTTCTGGGGGTATCAGGGAGGTGTTTAAAACTTAGGCTGGTTTTATAAAAGAGTTGTCAAATCCTACATTTCCCAAATATTCATCAGATTCAAATCACTAAAGCTCCAACCCCAAACCGTTCATGGATCATTAAGAAGGCTTTAGGGAATTTTTGTTCCAGTTCTGTTCAGCCACCATTGTATAGAATGGTCTCACTTTGGGAGAAAGATAAAAAAAAGTTGAAGGATTGTGTCCAACTTTTAGTGCCTATGCAAAATTTTGGGAAGCATACATAAAATGTGTAAAATGACTAAATAGGCAATTATTTACCAAATGATAACAATATGAGTGTTGGCTCTATAGTGGATTAAACAAAGTGACTCCTGTTTTCTAAGAGCCTGTAATGATGCTTGGGAAGATAGATACATGAATTAAACAGCGACGCGAGAGCTCCGAGTTTGTTGTCAGATAGATCTGGGTTCCAGGTCTGGTCCCCCCTCCTCCCTGACAGGTCTATGACCTTGGGCAGGTTACTTAACTTTTCTTTGAACAGATATCTCCATCTGTGAAATGAGCCTAAAAATAGTTCCTTACTCATAGGGCTCATTTTGAAGATTAAATGAGATAATGCGTATAAAGAAAGCTCTTAGCCACAGGACCCGCACAGTAAGCCCTCAAAAATGTGACCTCACCCAAATTGCTGAACAGTATAATTGTATATGTTCAGTGCTATGTTATTTAGCATAGGGATTCAAAGAAGGGAGGATTTTTCAAGTATTAGTAATCAAGACTGCTCTATATGTGGAGGTCAGACTCCCAGCTGAGCCATGTGGGAAGCACATGGATAGGCAGAATGAAATTAGAGGGAATACTGCAGTGGTTTTCAAGGTATGCTCTGCAAAATTCTAAGGTTCTTCTACCTGGGTGCACTGGGGTTGCGAGGCGGTGGGGGCGAGAGAGAGAGGAGGACATAAGTGGGTATGCTTTTGGGTCGCCGATTCATCTTTGAGCTGAGCAGTTCACTTTTGTTTTGCTTATCAACTGGGACTCGAATAGGATTTCATAAGAAAAATGGGCTCTGATGGCTTTGAAAACATTTGAAAGTCACTATGCCATTACAAGTAATGCCTGCAGAAGGAATCTATTTCCATGTACCAGGGTAGTAAATCACATCTTACCGATGTAGAGGTTTCAACAACTGAACATTTTGACCTCAAATGCTTTCTCTGATTTTGGACTCCTTAGAAACAGCCTGTCCTTATAATGAAAGCACTTCATTATGAGCTATTTGAAAACATTAATGTGAACATCAACTTCTGTTAATAATTCAATCTGTGCATTTAGGAAATTCTACAGTCTAAACTTAAATAGCTGCAACCTTTACAAATTCATCGGTAAACTAGGAAGCCCGAGTTGCGGACTACAAATATTTTGAACTACTGAGATGAAAATTGGGGGCAAGTTTTCAAACACACTGTTGCTTTATATCATAAATAAGGAATTTATTAATAATAATTATAATTAATACCTAATTATTATTATCACAGATAATACTGTAACACTAATTAGAGGAAAAGCAGTACCATTTCTAATCACAACTATTTATACCTGTTTATATTTAAAATTTCTCTGCATCGCTGCAGAGATGATTGAATAAGAAATTAAATTCCATTTATTATGAAGCATAATTGTGTGTGCTATATACATATATATCTATACAATCTGAATAGAAAAAGTCCTTCTCCCTAGAGAAGTAGCCTTCAGTTGCTGAAGAATATGGAAAGGATCTTAAATTATTAGTGTTTAGCTAATCTTGTCTTTAAATTTGTTTTCTTCTATTTCAAGTATAACATCATATGCAGATTGTTACATGCTTGTGATCATGTTAAGGAAGAAAGGGCTTATTGGACATATGTCCTTTCATCCTGTTGTCTGGTTTGACCCCGTTTATATCATAATATTGTAGTTATCTGCACCAGGAGAGCAGAAGATTGGCATGTTTTCTCCAAAGGGAAAACAGTTTTAAAAAATGCTTTAGATTTATTTTTGAAATGCATACTGTATTTTTTCTATCTGCTAAATTTGCTTTCTTAGTTATGTTTTTGCTAAGGGAATATTAAACTAGTGTGTGCTCTCAGAGCTCATATCACCTGACTGAAAGAAATTTCTCTAGAGCATATTGAAGACCAGCTGTGATCCAAAACATGTTTCGTGGATAACTAAGAGATGGCAGTATGGGAAATGCGCAAATTTGAACAATAGCTGAGTTCAGTGACAGAATGGGAGTCGTCAGTGGTACAATTCTTACCACTGTAATTCTCATGGTGAATGTATTTTCAAAATTAGTTAAATGACAGATATTTATACCGCTTTTTGGTACAGTGCTTTGGTTTGCCATACTGCAGGAAAAATCATAGCAGGAACACTGCATCCTCTGTGCAAAGATTGTGCTAGAAATCTAGTCTGAGATTTCTTTCAAAGAGTGGAATGAAATTTGAACCCGGATCCACTGAATTATGAAAGACAAATATTGTGTGAGTTTCTACTTTTGGAAAGACCTTTAGATTTTCTCATTGCCCAGTGTGTTAACTTACCTCATGTGACTCAAGCTGAAATTTTGCTATATTGTTAATTTAGAGAATTCTATATACAGTCAACCAGCATTTATTAATATGTGTGTTGTCATCGGTACATTGTAAAAAAATGTACCAACCTCCCCCTGTGGACTTCAGTGCCTTTAGGCTTTTCTGGATATTTGATCATGAGTAGATGCTAAATAATTTTACTTATTAACCTAAGCAGAACACTTTAAATTAGGGCAGTGATTTGCCAGCAAAACATTGCATCCCAAATTCAAATTACACATCCAGTGCTCTTATTCCTTTCCGTTAGTGTGGGTAATCAAGTGTTAACTACATATAAGTCCCCATAAAAAAGATGCTTCTGTTGATAAATGGTTTTACAAGCCACAAGAACAGCTAAAATGATGTGTGGTTTGAAATATTTCCACACTGAGGGAGTGTATAGTTTCTCTTCTGGCTGGTGACTCAAACTTCTCTAGAAACTGTCTGCTCTCATCCTCTCTGTTGGTGAATTCATTGTGGGTGTTGGCTTGAAATACAAAAGACTGGGTCCTGGGACCTGGAGCCCATGCTACTTGTGGTTATGTGTGTGGCCGTGGGCAAGCTGAATTATCCCTTTGTATTTGCATTTTCTTACCTGTCAGATGGGAATAACCAAATCAGCCAATCACTGCCAATTCGTGAGGAAATAGTGGAGGCAAATGAGGGGAAAGTGCTTTGATATGAAAAGGTGCTCTAAGGAAGATGTAAGGAGGTATTTTGTGCCTGTGACCTGCCTTTTCAATTTAGAGATTCTGTCCTGGAGCCCACAGACTGTTTGGAGCCCTGTAAGAATGGCTGTGGTACCTTGGAGGAAGTCTCAAATCGAGTTCTGGGAAGGTGTTTTGACCCAAGGGGTGGAGCTGAGTGCGAGAGTGTTCTATGTCTACTTAGGCTCTGAGCTGTGAGCGCCTGTCAGTGGACACTAACTGAAGGCTAAAAAGAACTTTTTCGATGCTTTCAAAGAAAAATCACTTACCCCAATGGAGGAAATGAGGGAGTTACTATAGACGGTGTGCTGTCTTCAGCTTTTAGTGTAGTTGAGCTGAAGATTTCATGCCAGCCTTCGGGTTTTTCTCATTGAATACTAACAAACAAACAGATCCCACCTCAAAAGCCTCACAGATGGAATAGCTGGAAGACGACTTTCTAAAAAAACTAGTCGTTGTTCAATCGCTTATAGCAATACTGTTTTATTTTATGTAAAATGACAGTTTTGAGCTGATGCCTGAATCTGGGCTCATCAGCTTTTGCAGGAAATTGTTGTTGATTTCAGCCACGCCTTTGCAAGCGAATTGATGTCAGGAAAGGAATACATTTTAATAGTCACTTGCAAATAATGATCTCCTCAAAAGCAAACAAACAAATAAATAAAGGTGACCTTATACAGTCTTTCATTTTCGTGTCATAGGGAAAATCTTGTCACGGTGAAGTGTTGGCAGAGGGCAATTTTGGGGAGGTAGGGACGTTTCCCAAGGAGGAAAATATTTCATGTGAAGGACGAAGCAGGACATATGGTAAGGGGAGAGATAGCATAAGGACTAACTAGCTATGCATTGTGTCTATCCTTACAGTCAATTTTTAATTTCCTGTGTAGCATTTTATATTGTGGAATGATGACAGGGAGGATGGGTTGGTGGTGGCAGTGGTTTGGTTTCTCAGGCTTTTTATTAATGACCTGTACGATCTGTGTTTTCTCTGTGTTTAACTGCATCCTCTCTGTTGGTGCATTCATTGTGGGTAATGGCCTGTATATCCTTAGAGGCTCGGGATGTATGATGGGTAGCAGGCAGGGAAGGGCAGCGCAATGAGCGAGAGCTTGTACAAACTAATACCACCCCTGGGAGAGCTGAAATGACAGCTCATTAGCTCCTCTTGCAGGGAAGTGCAGCCAACCAAAGTAAGCTCTTCTAGAAATGTTGTTTTTTCCTTTTTTCTTTGTGTTTTCAAATATTTGAACAAGTCACACAAATGTTACCTTTCTAAGCATCCCTCGCACATTTCGTAGGCCTGTTGGTATCATTAGGACGCACGTGACTAATTTGCTTGGCCTTTTATTTTCCAGACGGCCCCTGGGGTTCATAAAAGATTTTTCCGGAAAATAAAAAATCTCATTTCAGCATTTCAGAAGCCAGATCAAGGTATTGTAATACCTCTGCAGTATCCAGTTGAGAAGAAGTGCTCAGTTAGAAGCACACAAGGTACTACAGGTATGGTTTACTGTTAGTTTTCGACAGGGCTTGGAAGCTTGGGGTTAGGAGTTAACCTTTCCGCAAACACAGAGTGATGGGAAGTTCTGTACGAAACATGCCGTGGGTGTTGCCAGCCAATCAAGTGAGAGGGGACTACTCACGTGCTATGACTGCAATATGCTCTACTGTACACTTCTAGTAAAACTCTGGGAAAATATGAAGAGTTCTATGAGCCCACATGTAAATGCCTCTTTTCCCATCAAAACAGAGGTACCGTTTCCCTTCATTGATTCAGACACAAACAAATGTGAAAGATGGGACAATTCGGGAAACACCTGGGCTGTCCTTTACCTTTGCTCAGTAAACTCTGTTTTCCCTTCAGGGATGGAAAAGCTAATGTTAGCTTGGCCCACGCGATCCTAAGTTCTGAATTTGTGGTGCTTGAATTAATGAAACTTTATCGTAGCAAAGGAAATTGAATTAGTACACTTTATGATTCCAGAGGCACAAATTGTTACATCTCCCGAGCAAAGCTCTTTTAGTGCATGTATCAAGCTAATGACGTCTGCAGTTAGCAGATATGCGATTGTTTACCCGTTTGTTGAAAGGGGTTAATCACTTGTTTGGAGTAAGAAGATATGCCTTGACTGAAACAGTAAATATTTATGATAAAAAAAATGAGTTGTTATGTCCTTTTTTGACAAGGACCCAGGCTTAGCCATGAGCTGACAATTAGACTTAAGTGTGGAATTAAATTAATGAGTAGTTAGCCTTTATAACAGAAATTTAAATAGAGCTACAATTTACATATTACAAACTACAATTACAAACTATCCCTATCTGCTTGTTATTCCATTCTTTATAAGTCAGGGTTTTTTTTTCTCTTTTTTTAAAAATGTTTATTTATTTTGAGAGAGAGAGAGAGAGGGAGGAGCAGAGAGAGAGGGAGAGAGAATCCCAAGCAGGCTCCATGCTGTCAGCATAGCGCCCTACGCGGCGCTTGATCCCACGAACCATGAGATCATGACCTGAGCTGAAATCAAGGGCTGGACACTTAACTGACTGAGCCACACAATGCCCTAATAACTCAGTTTTAAGTACTGGTTGCTTGAGCTATAGCACTGCGTTGTATCTTTGTGAGCTTTATGCCCTTGGAAATGTTATGATTATAAGTTCAAGTTAACCTGCTCAAGTTAATAGCTTGTAAAGTTTATCTTTTCTTGATTTTTGTTATTATTTTTCTTTAGGGAGAAGAGAGGATCCTGATGTCTTCCTGAAAGCACCATGAAGGAAAATAAAATACCTTGTACTTTATTTTCTATAATTTAAGTATATGCTAAGTCTTATATATTGTAGATAGCACAGTTCAGTGAGTTACAAATGTATTTCTAAAACCATCATCGTCCTGTAATGGAAGTGTCTAGCATGATGTAAAAGCTGAAATGGACTTTGCCGAAACGAGGAGCTTTGAAATGAGGACTGGGAAAAAAAGAATTCCACAGGTTATTTTCAGTTACATTTATGAACGAGAAATGATTCAAAACACAATGATACTTTATAAAAGATTAATGTCAATTCTTGCCAAATATAAATAAAAATAACCCTCAGTTTTTCTCAAAAGCATCATTTTTAGTGAAATATTATTTGACAGCTACTGATTCGAAGATGTCTTGCTTGATTAGATGGCAGGAAGCTGGTTTGTGTCCCTCGACTTTGTCGTGCGTGGTTCTAATTAGGTATTATGCTCCCCACTGGCTATGGTGGTGTAGACTCTTAAGGGGAATTTATGAACTTGTGCACTGTGTGTTAAAACAAGTACTTGATAAAAAGTGAGGGATTTCTGTTTAATTCTGAAAGCAACCTTCTCGCCTAGTGTTCTGCTATTGGATAGTAGAATCCACAGGCCAAAAATCCCATAATTTAAAATACGCCCTAAATGTTTGTTATATTTGAAGTTACATTACAAATTCAATGAAATGGACTTTCCTTTTATCATCTATCGCTCTCCCAGTTGTTGCTACTCCATGTAAAACCTAATTTTGAGGGGAAGCTTCAGCCCCTGTGCTCGTGAGTAGCCGATTTACAAGTGGTCTCCCTATTAGCCCTATGAGAGCATTGGAGGCCTTATGGTTATGGTATTTTTTAACAGTTCCAAGTGATGGTGACCTGAGTGAGAGCCAAGATTTTCCACAGTGACAGATATTTATATTTTTTCCTCACATTTATATTTTCATGACTTTTGTGATTTGGTTATATATCAAGCTGCTTCGGGGCTCCTAGAATTCATTCACTCAACAAACAGAATAGGCACTGAGGTAGAGAAGTAAAAACCCCCGGTCCCTGTGCTCAGGCAGTGTGCTGTCTGGCTGGACAAGAAAACTATAATGATTTTAAAAAGTAACAAGAAAAGAAAAAAAAAAAGACAATAAAAAGTGATAAGCACCTGGTAAGTGAGGTTCCCAATGTGTAGGGAGATCTGTTGTTAGAGGCCGAATGAGTCAACACAAATACTCCGGTCCATGGTCTATAGGAAAATGCTAAGTTCTATTGTAAACTAATAAATTGGAATTCTGGTTTTTACACAAGTGGGGGTGAGCTTGATGACCTGCCAAGAGACAGAGCTACTCTGTGCATTGGCAAGATCTGGTTTCTGAGCATTTAGCATGGATACAATGGGTGTGCAAAGGTGGAGGTTTGCCATGATAGTGCATCGTGGGCCATTTACCATTTCTAGAAACAAAAGCATCACTTTAACTTGTAAAGGAATTCGGAAAGGCGACTTTCAAAACAAAATGTGTATGTTTAGGTCATTTTTCCTTATTTGTAGCTTGGATTTAAATTTTAATAGGTGTAACTAATTTTCACTCTCTCTAGCTTGTTCATTCTGGAATAATCCTAAATACACGAATTATGTTTGCATGTTTCTTTACCAGAGTCAGTTTTGCAAAAGCTTTTTTGAATCATGAATGGCCTTTCATATTTTAATAAAGTATTTGAAAACTTTATTTACCTAATTTGCCTTAAAATATTTTTGAAAACTATTCAGAGAAGATGCTATTTATATATTAAAGCATTGACGAAGGCCATCTTACCTGTCTTATTAGAGAGATTCCCTGAAGAAGGTAAGTGCTTTTCTGAGTTTGCTACTGTCCAGCTTTCTAGCTGATGGGCCTATCCACTACATTTCTTTGCTGGCCTTTTATTCATAAAGGTTTTTTCACCTTTTCTCTCCCAGCATAAGCTTTCTTGCTATTTCTCAGTACATAATAGCTTGTGCCTTTACGGAAAGGTCATATCCTTGCCATATCTAAAATATTGCCATGCTAACATATACCTGTAAGATGCTGAGTCAAGATAGAAAAATGCACATATATTTCCAAGTGTACACCTTTCTTCAGGAAAAAAAAGTGTGTCAGCAAGCCCACAAGAACATGACAGTTTATCAAATACTCATTCATTTCCTCTGAAGTTTGTTCTTAAGAGATAAGGTCAGTACGGGAGACAAGCTTAAGTAATTGTCAGTTTGGCTATTACAAGCAAGTAAGCTTTGTGGTAGTACATAGGGAGAATAAGGCTACAGAGGATGCTTCTGATGAAGCCTTCTAGTGTAAAGGGCTGGATTTAAGATCTTATTTGTGGTAGACTGGATAGAGAATTAAAAATGTGAGAAAATCGCTTTAAAATCTGTTAAGGTTTAGACATCAGCTCATGTTTTATTTGATTCACTTTATTGAGTTCAGAATCCAGAGTCTTTTTAATGATAAAATCCAGATTTGCCCTTAAGCATCTCAAGGTTACAAGATGCCGAGTCTTCCTCTCAGTGAGCTGTAAATTCAACGTTGCCCCGTATGTTTGTCCTTGCAGCAAATGGGATACCATTATTTTAGAGTTTGCAGCTAGGTGTGAAGTGAAACTACCCAGTTTGGACACTTTCGTCATTTGGGGTCATTGGCCGAATTTTCATCATTAGGTAATTTGCCTCTTAAATGAATACTTTTATGTAGAAAGATACAAGAAAACTGATTGACTGGAGAGAGCATGGCCATCAACATAACACTTGAGATTTGAATTTTTTTTTCAGCTTTGTCAGATTATCCGAGTGACCTTAGGTAAGTCAGTCTGTTACCATTGTTGCATTTGCCAAGTTGGAACAATGAAGTCTCGCTCACCTCTCAGGATTACTCAGATACTAGACCTATATAAATTTAAGGTAGGAGTGTTACTAAACATGTAAATAGCATTGATATTCAAAGATATCTAAAAGTGAGGGTGAAAAGTGAAGGAATATGGAGAAATCTCTTATATCCTTTAATAATTATCTCAATATAGGAGCTCTTGCCTCTCTCTCTCTTTTTTTTTTTTTTAAGTTTTTGTTTATTTATTTTGAGAGAGAGAGAAAGCACGAGCAGGGGAGGGGCAAAGAGAGAGGAAAGGGTGACAATCCCAAGCAGGCTCTCCACTGCCAGCTTGGAGCCTGATGTGCGGCTCGAGGCCATGAACCACAAGATTGTGACCTGAGCCTAGATTGAGAGTTGGATGCTTAACCGACTGAGCCACCCAGGCACCCCTTGCCTCTTTCTTTTTGTAATCTGAGGGTGGCGTGGGATGGGTATTAAAAATGACCAGGTGATACTAATATTCCCACCCCTCCACTGACACCATTACTTTTTGCTGATTGGTTGTGTTGAATCAGTCAGGGTTGTCTTCGGCTCCGTGACTCTTTTCACTGTATCTGTATACGGTAGTCCCCCCTCATCTGCAGGGGATACATTCCAAGACCCCCATGGATGCCCGAAACCATGAATAGTACCAAATCTTGTATATACTATGTTTTTTCCTATATGTATATATCCATGATAGAGTTTAATTTGTAAATTAGGCACAGTGGGAGATTAGCAATAGCTAATGATAAAATAGAACAATTATAACAATATACTGTCATAAAAGTTACATGAATGTGGTCTCTCAAAATATCTTACTGTACTCACTCTTCCTCTCATGATGATGTAAAATGCTTAAGTGATGAGATGAAGTGAGGGGAATGACATAGGCTTGTGTTAGTCTACTATTGACTTTCTGACAATACATCAGGGGGAAGATCTTCTGCTTCTGGACTGCAGGTGACCACAGGAAGCTGAAACCATGGAAAGCGAAGCTGTGGATAAGGGAAAACTGCTGGTAAGGGGCGCCTGGGTGCCTCAGCCAGTTAGGCCTCTGACTTGGGCTCAGGTCATGACCTTGAAGTTTGTGAGTTTGAGCCTCACATCGGGCTCTCTGCTGTCAGTAGCAGAGCCCCCTTCAGATCTTCTCTCTCTCTCTCTCTCTCTGTTCCTTCTCTGCTCAGGCTCTTTCTAGTTCAGAAATAAATAAACATTTGAAAAAGGGCAGCAGAGCATTTACAAGTGGTATAAATTCCAGAATTCCAAGCAAGTTTCAGAAACAAGTAGGTTGTTTGCACAATGGGTGCCCCATTACCATCAAGTTGAATTTTGCAAAATCTATTGGCTTGCTTCCCAGTGTTGCTTGTAAATACCTTCTAGTGAAAAGGAAGTGCCAAATGACCAGTGCAATGGCCCCGTATGTGAGAGCTGGATTTTTTTGTTGTTGTTGTTTTTGTTTTTTGTTTTTAGTTTTTCCCGACTTTCTCCCCTAATCACTTTTTTGCCAATGCATCTGGGTGCCCGGCTCCCCTAGCTCTCCCCCACCCATTTTTCAATTCTTCATTTTCTTTCCATTGCTCAGAAAGGCATCAGCAGGAGAAAGAAACCTTTTTTAAAGTAATAGTCTAGACTTTAACAGCTGAATGGACAAACAAACAAGTGAGTACATCCATAGAGTAGAATCCTTTCAGCAATAAAAAGGAATGAACTATTTATGTATGCAACCATCTGTGGATGGATCTCAAAGATATTATATTATCCTGAGTTTTTGTTTTAACTAATCTCAAAGAATAATATGCTATGTGATTATATATAAAAAGTGACACTTTATTAAATAATATATTATGTATGTAATATATACACACTACTCTCAAAGTAACAAAGTTATAGTAATGAAGAATAGGTCAGTGATTGGTAAGAGGAAACAAGAGAAAGTTTCTATAAGTGATTGAACAGTTCTGCACCCTAACTCTATGACCGTTACTCAAAACATGACAAAATTTCACAGACCTGGACACAAAAGATTGCGTATAAAAACTGATGAATTCCAAATGAAGTCTGTACTAGATTTTAATAGTACTGTACCAATGTCAATTTCCTATTTTTAACATGTTCTGTGGTTATGTAAGATACTATCTTCTTTTTTCCTAAAAAACTAATCTGATTGCATGGAACTGTATACACACACTCGTGCACGCGCGCACACACACACACACACAAATTCACAGCAAACTGGCAAAGCCTGAGTAGGCTCTGTGAATTATAACAATGCCAATTTCCTGGATTTCATGTTGTATTATAGTTATGCAAGATGTTCCCATTGGGGAAATGGCTGAAGGGCACATGTAACCTCCCTGTACATTTTTTAAAATCCTCATGAATCTATGATTATTTCAAAATAAACAGTGTAAAAATATGGAAAAAAAAAAATAAAGTAATAGTCTAGAGACATTTAAACTTGCAACAGCTACTTTTTTTTTTTTATTAAATGGGCATTTGTGTCAGAGATACTATTTGTATGAAAAATAAAAATGAAGGGACATCTGCTTAGGATTAGTGCCTTTTTGATTTTTGCACCTACATTTTCAAGATGACGCAGTTTCATTGTTCCCTGTTAGGGAACTACTTTTCATATCTCAGGTGACCAGACACACTTGAGAATGCAGTTCGGCGCATGGATAACATGGGGCACACTGTTCGTTTGCAATTTTATTTCTTAAAAATGAAATATTCAAAGTACTTTTTTTCTTTCAAATATCGACACATAATGTTTAACTTTAAATATTTACAGCATGTTGTTGTGATGCTCTTGTAGAAAAATGCATGCTTCTGGCCTGAAAGCCAGAGCAAAATGCAAAAGACCATTTAACTGCAGCCAGAGAACATGAACCTGTACAGTATCCAGTCACTTTTCAGCACAGGAGTGAGAGCAGGAATACAAAATTGGAAACTATTGTTTCCTAGCAACACGGCTCAGGCCATTATAACACAATTTTTCAGTATGATTAGAACCTCTAACTGTTGTTATATAGAAACTGAAAATCTTGGCATACACTGTAAACATCTTTACTTTTCATGAGAAAGTAAGCAGCTAAAAAGAATATTTTTCTGACGGTAAAGGCTATACTTCTCTTTTTCACCTTCTTTCTTACCGATGCTTTTGCCAGAAGAATAGTAAAGATTTAGACATTGTCATGATTCATACAAGTAAAATATTTTTCAAGGACACAATCTGATATACTAACATTTATTTAAGAGGTTAAAGTCCACCACTAAATCTAAGGAAAGATTTTTAACTGCCAAACACATTTCCTTTGACAAATAATGTAAGATGACAATTGCCAAGACAAAATCCACAGCAAGTTTAACTAACTATTTTCAGTTACTGTTTAGGAAGTAATTTCTTCTTACACACAGTAGTAGGTTTGGTCCTTAATAGCTTTCACATGAAGGACACACTGAACTAACAGTCACTATTTTGTGGTTGAATTCTTTTTTGTTGTTTGTTGTTTTCTGTTTTTTTTTTTTGTTTTGCTTTTTTTTTGTTTTTTTTGTGTTTTTTAAAATGTTTTTTATGTTTTTTTGTTTTGTTTTGTTTTTGTTTTTTTGTGGGTTTTTTTTTTTTCCCCTTTTGCAGAATAAAGAACCTTACAGAAGGCTGTGGAAGAGCAGTCTGAGATCTGAAGTACTAGTCAGGTCAGCTATGTGTATGTGAGTTCCTCTAAGAAAACATGAATGTCGCATCCAATCTGTAGCCTTCTGTCCTTCCACAAGCTATAATACACTCCAGTATCTCCAAAAGTATC